TATATATATATATATATATATATATATATATATATATATATATATAATATAATATTATATATATATATATATATATATATATATATATATATATATATATATATATATATATATATATATATATATATATATATATATATATATATATATATATATATATATATATATATATATATATATATATATATATCCATGAAGTGAAGCAGCGACACAGTAAGAATAGAAAAAAATAGAGAAAATGTGGCTGTCGTTCAGTTCCTGTCTATAGACACATTCCTATGGTTGTATTCCTGGTCATATATATATATATATATATATATATATATATATATATATATATATATATATATATATGTGTGTGTTGTGTGTGTGTGTGTGTGTGTGTGTGTGTGTGTGTGTGTGTTGTGTGTGTGTGTGTGTGTGTGTGTGTGTGTGTGTGTGTGTGTGTGTGTGTGTGTGTGTGTGTGTGTGTGAGTGTGTATGTGGGTGTGGCTATTTCTTTGTGCGTGTATATGTGTGTAATTGCACATACATACATGTGTGTTTATGCACACACACACACACACACACACACACACACATAATGATATTATTAATACTGATAATTTGATAATGATAATAGTAATTATGCTGATGATAATAACTATATTGAGGATGATAGCAATAATGGGTATAATGATAATGATAATAGTAGTTATAATAATAGTAATGCTAATAATGATAAAAGTAATGATAAAGAATAGTGATAATGGTAACAATAGTGATGATGATGATGATGATATTGAAAATAATAATGATGATAGCGATAATAATGATACTAATAATGCTAATGAAAATAATAGTAGTAATGAGGATAATGATGGTGATAATGATAATGATGTTAATAATGATAATAAAAGATGATAATGATAATGGGGATAATAATAATAACAACAGTAATAGTTAATAATAATAATATTGATATTGATAATTATAACAACAATAATGATAATCAATAATAATAATGGTAATAATAGTAATGATAAAATTAACAATGATAATGATGATAATGATAAAAATAGTAAAAATAATGATGATAATAATGATAATAATACTGGTGCTATGACGTTGATAAGAATTATAGTAATAATTATAATGATGATAACGATAATAATCATAGTAATAATCATAATAACAACAATAAACATAGTGATACAGCAACAGCAACAACAGCAATAACAAAAATACGACAATACCCACAACAACAGCAATACCCCACCCCATAAAAAAGGAATAAAAGGAAAAAGAAAGAAATATATATATATATATATATATATATATATATATATATATATATATATATATATACATACATACATATATATATATATATATATATATATATATATATATATATATATATACATATATATATATATATATATATATATATATATATATATATATATATATATATATATATATATATATATATATATATATATATATATATATATATATATATATATATATATATATATATATATATACAACAACGATCACAACAACAACAAGGTCAACAAGGTCAACTATTCTAAGAACATCCGTAACAATACAAAGAACGGTAATTGAAGTCGCTTCCACAAAGAGCTCAGGTGTGTGATGGGGTTTCCACGTCGGAGGAGACATCGACCCTCCACGACCGGCGGAGGAGGAGAACATGGCGCCACACTGCAGAGGAAGAGGGGAGGGAGGGAGGGAGGGATGGAAAAGGAGGGGAGGATAAAAAGGAGGGGAGGGAGGAGGGAAGGGAGGAGGGGAGGGAGGGAAGGATAAGAAGGAGGAGGCAGGGAGGATAAAAGGAGGGGAGGGAGAGAGGGATGAAAAAGGAGGGGAGGGAAGAAGGATAAAAAGGAGGGGAGGGAGGGAAGGATAAAAGGAGGGGAGAGGGAAGGATAAAAAGAAGGGGAGGGAGGGAAGGATAAAAAGGGGGGAGAGAGGGATGAAAAAGGAGGGGAGGGGGGAAGGATAAAAAGGAGGGAGGGAGGGAAGGATAAAAAGGAGGGGAGGGAGGGAAGGATAAAAGAAGGGGAGGGAGCGAAGGATAAAAAGGAGGGGAGGGAGGGAAGGATAAAAAGAAGGGGAGAGAGGGAAGGGGAGGGAAGGAGGAAAGGAGGGAAGGAAAATAAGAGAGAGAAGGAGGGAGGGAAGGGTAAAAAAAAGAGGAGGGAGGGAGAGAAGGAGGGAGGAAGGGAGGGATGAAAAAGGAGAGGAGGGAGGAAGGATAAAAAGGAGGGGAGAGGGAAGTAAGGATAAAAAGAAGGGAGGGAGGGAAGGAAAGATGAAGGAGGGGAGGGAAGTTATCGTTCTTATCATCAATATCATCATTACAATTATCATCACTACAACTATAATTAATACTATTATAATCATCATAGTCTATCATTTTTGTTATCTTATTTATTGGGGGATGAGGAAGAGATCAGGATAAAGGGTGGTAAGTAGTAGTAAGCTTGGATGTTATGACCTGGATTTTTGTTTTAAACTGAGAACATGCTAAACTAATCCTTATTTTGGGCGAGAATAGATGTTAAGTTTGTATGCTGTGATCTTGATTTTTTTTCATTGAGAACGCTGTATTGGTCCTTATTGTGGGTGAGAATAGATGTTAAGTTTGGATGTTATGATTTGGATATTTGTTTTTTAACTGAGAACATGCTAAACTAGTCCTTATTGTGGGTGAGAATGGATGTTAAGTTTGTATGCTGTGATCTTAATTTTTTTAACTATTATTATTATTGAGAACATGCTGTATTGGTCCTTATTGTGGGTGAGAATAGATGTTAAGCTAGGATGTTATGATCTGGATTTTTAAAAATTGAGAACATGCTATATTGGTCCTTATTGTAAGTAACAGTAAATGTTAAGCTTGTATGTTATGATTTGGCGGTGATTTTTGTTATCAAGAACATGCTATACAAATAAGAATAATAAGAATTATGAGTGATGATGATAATGATAATGATGATGATGATGATGATATTAATATGATACTGATATAAAAAAGCACATCACCCTATTATTGTGGATAATAATAGATTTTTTAATGGTATCGTTCATGATTCTGTGTCAGGAAGGGAAATACTACATTTACTGGATAATCACAGGTGAGAAGAGATTATCTTATAATATCACGTAATATCAGCACAGACTACATCTTACATTTACATAAAACCTTTGTATCTTCATGCGTTACCCAAATTTAGGCTAAATTTGCTAAAAGTTACATCGCAATGCAGATACAAAAAAAAAAAAATGGCTAACTCTTTAAATAACTAAGAAATAGTTATAAACGATAGAATATAAACAAAACCACAGATCCCAATTCATAGTACTAAAACCTTTTCCACTGAAAAAACAAAAGAGCATCAGGATCCCTTTACAACTAAGAAATAGGATTATCCCAACCCTATGTCCAACAGTTATAAACGATAGAATATAAACAAAACAACAAATCCCAGGTCACAGTACTAAAGCCTTTTCCACCGAAAAACAAAAACAAAAGAGCATCAGGATCCCTTTATAACTAAGGAAAAGGATTATCCCAACCCTCTGTCTGCTTAATATCCGATGATCAAAGTCTCGTGAGTTCGCTGAAGGTCACAGTGCGAGGCGTTCGTGTTTCTGCCAAAGATCTTTATTGATTTTAGGTTTCGGCGTCGATAACTGACTCTTTTTTTCTCTTCCTTATATACTTGTAGTGTTCTTTATTTTTTTTTTCGATTCTGGCGTCCTATATCTATATCAGTTTTAGGTTTCTGCGTGGATAACTGTCTCTTTTTTATCTTTCTTATTGTATTGTTCTATATTTCTTTTTTTCCGTTTCTGGTGTCCTATATCTACACTGATTTTAGGTTTATGCGGCGATTTTTATTTTATCTTTTTTTTTTTTTGGGGGGGGGCGGCAATACCTTTCTTTAATATTGCTCGTATAGTTTTTCTTTTTTTTTTACCTTTTAATACCCAGCTTAATTTTAGGCTTGTGAATCGATATCTATTTTTTTCCTTGCCTTTTCTTCAATTCTGGCTTCCCCTCTCCCTTTCTTTTTTTTTTTTTTTTTTGGGGGGGGGGTGTAGATCGTGAGTGATGCTAATGTCGAATTACCCTTTATTAAAGTTCAAGTTAGATTTCGGTTGGGTAATTATGATAAGCGTCTTTGATATTGTCCTAGATAATAGAGAAGAGTTGTTTAACTTTGATTATGAGGTAAATTGTAGTGATGATAATGATAAAAGTAATAATAATAATAGTGATGATGATGATGAGGAGGAGGAGGAGGATTATAATAATAAAAACAATAGTAATAACAATGATAATGATAATAATGATAACAATATTGATGATGATGATAATAATAACAATACTGATAATAATAGTAATGATAAAACTAATCATTATCATCGTTACAATAATATTGATAATAATAATAATAATAATGTAACAACAACGACAATAATAATGATAAGGAAAATTGTGATAATGACAAGTGAATGAATAATAATGATGTGATATTGATAATGATCTTGATAATTGAATAGCAACAATAATAACAGACATTAAGTACGTATTTGCCAAAAACCACCTCCTTCCAAAAAAAGGACAACAAAAATAGTAATAATAAAATAATGAGGATAAACGAATATATGAATAAATAGAATGAAACCCAAACGAAAGACTTGAAATATTTTTTTTAGAGATTTAGTTTCAAACCTATTTGTTACAATGGATATTCTTTGCTGTGACATACTGTAAGTTCTATCTTGCTGCTAAATCTCCCCCTGTGTGCAAGGGATGGCCGGGGTGACCATCCACTGGCAGCGCGCGGGATCGAACGCAGGTCAGCGAGATTGCTAGACCAGCGCGTTGCCATCGCACTACACACCACACGAGGTTTGACCCAGCGTGACCTAACTCCCTCTCCCACGCCCGCAGGTTGCTTGCACGAACTGGAAGCGGATGATGATGATCCTTTCTGGAAGGACGAACAAGACCGACCCGCTTGCTATCCGCTCCTACGTCCCGCACGTCGAGGGTGTGCTGCCAAGGCTCTCCTCGTCGCGGATGACGGTCAGTGAAGGATGGAAGGGATAGGGGATGGGTGAAGGATGGAAGGGATAGGGGATGAGTGAAGGATGGAAGGGATAGGGGATGAGTGAAGGATGGAAGGGATAGGGGAAAGGATGGAAGGGATGGGATGTGAAGGATGGAAGGATAGGGGATGAGTGAAGGATTAGGGATGAGTGAAGGATGGAAGGATAGGGGATGAGTGAAGGATGGGGATAGGGGATAAGGATGGAAGGATGGGGGACGGAAGGATGAAGGGATAGGGGATGAGCGGATAGGGGATGAGTGAAGGATGGAAGGGATAGGGGATGAGTGAAGGATGGAAGGGATAGGGGATGAGTGAAGGATGGAAGGGGTAGGGGATGAGTGAAGGATGGAAGGGATAGGGGATGAGTGAAGGATGGAAGGGATAGGGGGATGAGTGGGATGGAAGGGATAGGGGATGAGTGAAGGATGGAAGGGGATGAGGGGATGGAAGGGATAGGGGATGAGTGAAGGATGGAAGGGATAGGGGATGGGTGAAGGATGGAAGGGATAGGGGATGAGTGAAGGATGTGGGAGTGAAGGATGGAAGGGATATGAGTGAAGGATGGAAGGGATAGGGGATGAGTGAAGGATGGAAGGGATAGGGGATGAGTGAAGGATGGAAGGGATAGGGATGAGTGGAAGGGATAGGGGATGAGTGAAGGATGGAAGGGATAGGGGATGAGTGAAGGATGGAAGGGATAGGGGATGAGTGAAGGATGGAAGGGATAGGGGACGAAGGATGGAAGGGATAGGGGATGAGTGAAGGATGGAAGGGATAGATGAGTGAAGGATGGAAGGGATGGGGATGAGAAGGATGGAAGGGATAGGGGATGAGTGAGGATGGAAGGATAGGGGATGAGTGAAGGATGGAAGGGATAGGGGATGAGTGGAAGGGATAGGGGATGAGTGAAGGATGGAAGGGATAGGGGATGAGTGAAGGATGGAAGGGATAGGGGATGAGTGAAGGATGGCGAGGGTGATAAGTAGACAGGAAGTGAGGGACGAAAGGTTGATAGGTGGATAGGAAATGTGAAGGTCGAGGCTCTGCTTTCATTCAAGGTCATATATTAAAAGGGATAGATTATAAGTCGAAGTTTTTTTGTTTTTTTTTTTTTTTCAAGGTCAATTGTTGAAAAAGGATAGATTATAAATGGATTTGGTAGAGAGGGACATCAGGGCTATGTTCTTTTGCTGGGTCAAAGGTCAAAAGGGATAGATTATGTGGATAGAATTTAAGGACGCCAATGGTCTGTTCTCTTACTGGGTCAAAGGTTAAAACGGATAGATGATAAGTGGATAGGAATTGAGAAAGGTCAAGGGTCGGTTTCCCTTCAAGGTCAAATACGAAAAGGGATAGATGATGTGGGCAGGAAGTGAGGAACATGACCTCTTATCTCATGGTCAGAGGTTCAGTGAGATAAATGTTAACGTAGAGAAAGGGTCAACCAAGTTTTTTTTCTTTCTTTTTTTTTTTTTTTTTTTTTTTACTTTTTAGGTCAGAGATTAAAGAAAAAAATATAATAGGGTAGAGAGTAAGGCTCGGTGAAGTCAAAGGCTTTCTCTTTCCTCCAGGTTCAAAAATTGGGTCAAAGGTCAGGCAAGTAGCAAAGGGGTAAAGAATCGATAGGAAGGAATGCAAGTCCGTGTTCTACCCCCGCCCCGGGTCAAAGGTCGCTGATTGATGGGATTGATGAAAGCAAAAGGTCAGGTCAAGCTGTGGATGGCTTTAGTCTGAGATTTTTATTTCCAGTGAGGTTTGGATTTTGATAAATTGTCAATATCAAAAACATAGATAATAATGGGGATAAAAAGCGAATTAAATGGATAGGATATTTTTATGCAATGTAAGGGTTCAGGTCATGTTGCGTCGACAGTCAACAAAACTGAAATGTCAAGTCTTTTTTCTGAATTAAAGATAAAGGTACAGGAAATTATAAAGGGATAAAAAATGTATACATGGTTGGATTATACGAATATCTATGAAGGTGGGACGTAAATGCATTGTTCTCTCCAACTCAATTTTAAAAGGGTTTATATTTATGCAGTAGAATAGAGGGAGTGATGGTATTGTGTGAAGTCAAGGTTTAGTCTCATTAGTAATCTATTTTCCTTTTTTAAGTTACAGAGGTAATAGAGTACTTGGTTTGTAAATGAATATAACTAACTAACAGTTGCATTTGTGAGCCTGAAGAAGATTTGTAGCAGTGGTATTTTGATTATTTAATCATGCATGCATTTATTTATGTATGCATTGATTCCTTCATTCACTTTGGCTACTCTTCGTTTCCTCTACACCACGACAGAGTGTTTCTCTTTACTATTTTCACTCTCGTAGCTACTGCCTTTATCACATCCTTCTTTCCGTCCCTCACAATGGTTTCCGGTTCGCCTTCCAGAGCTCGCTGCTCCATCACAAACTCCGAACGTACACCAAGTTCCTGTTCGTGCGCCACCCCGTGGAGCGCCTCGTCTCCGCCTACAGGAACAAGCTGGTCATCAACTCGACGTCGGCGGCCGACTTCAAGCGCAGGTACGGCATCAAGATCCTGAAGAAGTTCCGCAAGGGGGACGCCGTGCAGAACATCTCGAAGACGGGCCACGGCGTCACCTTCGCAGAGTTCGTCTCGTACCTGATCGAGAAGCGCCACGAGAGCCCGCAGAGCATGAACGAGCACTGGGCGCCGTACGTGGAGCTGTGCCACCCGTGCTTCATCAAGTACAACATCATCGGCAAGTACGAGACGCTGGAGGAGGACGCCGAGTACGTGCTGAGGAAGATCGGAGCGCCGCCCTCGCTGCACTTCCCGCCGCTGGTCACGTCCAAGACGACCGCGCTCGTCGAGGCGCACATGAACACGCTCACGCCCGAGCTCAGGAAGAAGCTCTACAACGCCTACCAGCTCGATTTCAAGCTCTTCGGGTACGATTATGTGAAGGAGAAAGATTATGTGACTCAAGAAAATGGCAGTTAGTGCTTTTGGACATTTGAAAGCTTTCTTTCTTTTCAAAACACTTGGATTTACGGATGAGTCGATGCGTTGCGAAAGCCGATTATAGTTCTTTGTACAGCTATATTATATATATACACACAGATGATTTTCCTGGATATCGCAGTGCCATTTTTTGCTGATAGGTGATAGAAATCCGACTTCCGTTCTACTGCCGATTTTATAATTTTCACAAATAACGACAGCATCTCTCCTTCACCATATTCGTTAATGATATTCAGTGCCCAAGCTCAAACCTACGTGTTAACCCCTTCTCGAAAATCTGACATCAGTTACGAGACAAGGCACGCCAATAATTAAGAAAATCATGTGTGATGTTTGAAATCGAGGTAACGATAGCTGGTATCTTTCACTTAGCCAGAAAATTGTCATTAGTTTTGGTGTTGGAAAGACGGGACAACTACCATACGTTTGGTACAGTATTGCGGGTCTGCATTCACCATCTGATGAAGGATGAAGTCTGTTGCTGTTAGTGCAACATTTCTGTAAGATGTCACAGCCTTAAGAATTGGAAGTGGCACGATATGTAACGGAAGTCTTTCATGCACACTATCAACCACTGAAGACATTAAACAACGAACAGGAATTTAAACAATACCCTTGTTTCCCATTAGGAACATTAGGTTTATTCACAACATTATTGGAAGCGTAGATAATGGTTTCCTAAGTATGGTAGTTGGACCAAACCCTGCGTAAAATCAAAATTAATTTTTGGAAGGTAAATTATAGGATACTGCAGCGTGCATAATTTTCGTGGCAAGGAAAGGGTCACGTGATCCACGCTGTGAAGAACAATTTTGTGCAAGTAAATACGTAAAGAGAACTTGAGCATCTATTTTCATGCAGCTGTGTGAACCATTCATGGAGATGCCGCAGTTGTTCTCTTTTTAATGTCCTTTTTTAAATCCTTACTTGGCAACAATTTCCACGAAGGTTTAAAGAAAAAACGGCGTATATTTACCACTAGTCTCTTCCGCTGCCAGGTACCATTCTATCGAAACTGAAAGGGAAAGAAAAGGGAAGAAACCCAAGACCTTAACGACACGCGGTACAAAAGACATATACGGGTGCAGAATATTCACACACGTGGAGTTCTGGTTTGTTATCTCTTTCATATAAAAGCAATAATTGACGATGGAAATGCGTTAATAAGTGTTACCGCTGCCAGAGACTTGTGTGTGATTTACTATAAAGTGTTTATTTTCTTGTGACGATCCGCGGACGAGAGCCTAAGAAGAAAAGTTTTGAAGACAGGGTTATTCGTTTGTTCCCTTCCAGAGAGGCTTCCTTGGAATGAAGCCTCTTCGGTTGGGTCTTTATGCTTTGTTCTATAAAGTGGAAAAACTAAATCGTAAGTGAAATGGCAGAAAATCATAACAAAACTCGAATTGTGCATTGTACTTTTGTTTGCCATTATATGTAAAAAACGAAAATCGTAATTACTGGGTCATATTTTGATTAAATGTTACGTAATTATGCCAACTGGTCATTAGATCAGTTCCCTACGCAGATGATCCATTAAGGAGCATCTGTTAAGAGTCAGGCGTAGTACTTACAAAATACTGACAGAACACAAGCCTGTTTTACTCTTAGTATATTTGCATGTGTGTACTCAGTCAGATCTTATATTAACCTCTTCAACATGTTACCTACTCGGTTAATTTTTTTCATCTGTTTATCGATTAGAAAAAAATATTTTTGATTAATCGAATGTTCACGATATAACGAACGAAGGCAGAGTTGTGTAGTCGATGTAATCTGTGATAATTGCGTGACTTAATGAGGTGGCGAAAGGAGTTCTATAAATTTCTTGTAAAAAATATTAATGTGGGAGAAAGTACACTCGGTGTTGTATCTTTGTAACAATGTCCCCTCTCAACCTATGACAATACAGTAAAAAAAAACTATATATATATATAAATACAAATAACAGATACTGAGAAGCCAAGTCAAAATTGCCTATCCTCGCCAAAACAAAGCGAGAGATATAACGGCATGACTTGAAATTAAAGTGATGAATGTCAGCATCATGAACATTGTAAGCATAAGAACAACTCTTATACTAATATCTCTTACACGCTATTTTACATTGTTTTCTCCATGCAGCAATTTGGTTGATAAATGTTAATTCCAATCATACTGCAGCCGATGCCCATAGCTGAAAGGATTTTAACTAGAGGCTAACGAATGCTCTACCAACTTAAGGCTACAGCGATACTTCTATAATTAATAGTTAGTTTCAGCTGCCTCAGCGTAACAGGCCCAGCTCCTTTATGCGAAAGTCTAGTGCTGTTTGGGAGTGGCTGTGGTTATTCTCTGGGTGTTGAGGTTGTGTGTGTGTTCCAGAGCGCTAGCTGTTGTTGTCTGCGAGTGCGAGCTGTCTATGGTTTTCCCGTTTTTTTTTTTTTTTTTTTCTTTCTTTCTCCTGTTAGAAAACTGGTGTTGTTCCGATGTGTAAGGCCGCCAGCTGATGTAATTCATAATCGCACATGCATGGAAATCCTGTAAAGCGTCCAGTCTCAGAGAAGAGAACAATTGGCAACTTAACACAAACTTCGAAGTACTCCGATTCGCAAAGCTCTTTGGAAAAGGAAGGATCAAATCATGTTAAGCAATAAAGATTCTGTATTTCAGAATACCAGATATAAGTAAACAAAAGAATTAGGTATCAGATGATTTCAATAAGAAACGAGGGATGGTTATACCACAGACTTGGCAAATCGTACTACTCCAGAAAACAAGGTGAGTTGCCAGTAATTTTTTCCTCTGAGGTTGGGTGCAGTTACATTGGATTTTAACCAAAAATCAGCTGATTGTCAGTGAACATATTGACGTGTGTGCCCCGGCGAATGTGGAGGCATCAGATGATTATGCTTAAGAGTTCCAGTTACTGAAGTTTGAGAATGCTGAAGCTGAAGTTTTATAAGAACACCAGCACATTCAAAAGTTAATGCTGTTTGAGTAAAGATAGAAAAAAAACGTATTATTAAAAAATAGCTGTTGATCAAGGCAGTCTTCGGGAGTCTGTGAAATTACTTCGACGGGAAGAGTATGTAATAAGATATGTAAGGAAAAAAATGTCCTACGAACACTTCATTCTCCACAAAAAATCCGTTTATACCACCGTTGACACTCTCGAATCTGCCTTTTTAACCTACAGCTCTAGTTGATCTTCCATAATTATAGATTCAGATGATCTTTCAGCCATATTTCCAGATATTAAGCCCAATAGTTCCAAAACGAAGGTCCTATGATAATAAATAGTTCCAGATAAGGTTCCCTGAACACTAGTCCTGTCATCCAGGTCATGTACTTAAGCTATAGTTCCAGATAATTTTTTAAGTACGTAATTCCAGATGATCTATAAGCAATAGTGTCAGATGATTATTTTTAAGCAGTAGTTTCAGATAATCTTTAAATAGTTCCAATTTACGACTGTTAAGCCATAGTGTAAGACGTCGACAGTCTATAAACGACATTACCATGCAAGAGTTCATAAGCAATAGCACCATGCAATGGTTCATACACAATAGATCCATCTTATCTTCCGCAGGCAATAGTTAAACCTAGTGGTCCATGTTTTAACAGCTCTTTTAAGTGGGGCTTTCTCAGTGGGACGATGCCCGCTGGTAGTTCGCCCTGCTGTCGCCTCGTGATAGTGGCATGCTGAGTGGGAAGGAAGAGGAAGAGGTGGTATACCCTTGTACGTGTTAAGTCAGACCTTCAGATGGCTTCTCCAAGACTGTCGACTGAGGAGACATTGTGAGCTTAATTATTCAGTTCAAGAGGTAATGGGTGCCTTATCTCTTGATTAATACAATACATACGACATATTCACATAGAAAGCACAGACGCACACGCGCTCGAACGTATATACACACGAGGAAAGACACTTTCACACACACACACACACACACACACACACACACACACACACACACACACACACACACACACACACACACACACACACACACCACTCACATACACTTAGAAACCCAACCGCACGCACAGAGTAAATAGTGTCTGCACAACTGATAATAATCTATTGGCTCCAACTCGAAAATTGTTCCTGACGGAGGCACGCCGCGTGGTGCCCGTTGTGAACGAAACCCTACTGGCTGCAGACGAGCAAAAGCAACGATCTGTAGGCGAGCGTAGGTAACCTCACCATCAACCAGGTAATCTGCCAGGTAAGGAGTCGGGGATCCACCTTTTCCGAGCCCCAAGTGAAGACATATCGCATGGGAGACAGGTTGCAAAACATCGTCAATGTGACTGCTACACTGCACTTCATCGAGAACCATCTGTGATAATAATGTGTGCTCATCCTACAACTCAATGATAAATGACGTATGATGTTAGAGGAAAAATTATTATACAGTGTCTTAGGTTTCACAATAGTGACGTGAAGCCCCTTCGATGTTTTAACCACAATCAGCATTAATTATCTCGGTGACATGTGCTTTTATCAACTTTTTTCACTGAATTCCCCCTTGCCATGTGTGTAAGATTGTTTGTTATTCCCCTGTAATGACAAAGGTGGGAGAACGAACGTATTTTTATTTCTTGTTTTGTTTTGTTTCTTAATTTATATGTATATATTTGTTCTTAAATTCAATAACTCCTTTCTCTATTGCCTGTGAGCATGTTGAAAGTACTGGAGTTCTTTAGGTCCATTTTATTTTTTCTAAACTATAACAAAATACTTCTTTTGTGGAAACCTGTAATTTTTGTCCCACTCGAAAGTGTCTGCTCCCCCCCCCCTTACAACCTTTCTCCTTTTTTCAGTTTATTAAAGTAATAGATATTCAAATACAGTAAGTGACGACCTATGAATCCCGCCACCAAGGAAAAGAAAGTAATACTAACACGCACATCATTCTGGCTGGATCAGGAATTCTACACGCAGAGTTTTCCCGCCATTTTCACGGGGGAAAAGAAATGGAATTAGGGATGGCATCTTCCTGGTGACTTAGGTTAGACTAATTAACGCACAAAAGAATTCGTTCAACTGTAATATAGACATAAAGTATGCCTTTCCATATGAGGACAACATATGTAGCCTTATGCTTTGCTTATAAGCAACTGTATTTCTCTTTCAAGCAGATTTTTTTCATATTGGTATAATAAAGAGAACCAAGCCATTGATTTCGCTCATTAACCTTCAGTTGTTTTTGGGTTATGCTCACGTTGTAATAACTTTAAAGACAATTTTTTAAAGAAAAAAAGGTATTGATCACTTCTTGGGATTTTGTAACTGCTATGTTAAAGAGGATGAATTAATATCGTTAATTAAAAAAATAATAAAAATAAAAAAATAAAATAAATGAGAGAATGAAATAGAGAATCTAAATTCACTGTTTCATGAATGATGTGAACAATATTTTTTTTCATAAAGACAAACAAAGAATATGATATACGTAATAAAACAAATTATAAAATATGCTTAAACATCTCGTTGAAAAAAGTTTCGTCATAAAATCATCATTAACTTAAATGAGCGAAGATAAAAATACTCAACGAAGATGACTGAACGAGTTTGAGTAATAATGATAAATAATAGATATTTGAAGCAATAGAAAAATGTCACAGAAAACGGTATTTTTATTCAATATCAACTGAAATAATGCCATATTAAGGACGAAACACGGTATTAGAGTAAACCTTCGGTACGGATAGAAGATAAATATGTATTTATTTTACACGTACTGTATATAAGGCTGATATTGCAATTATGACATGTGCTTTAAATATTCATGTGTATATCCACGAGATTCTCAGCATGTTTGTTCATTTCCCTAGAGTTAAATGCACTGTTTAATCTAAAGTGGGTAACTTTATACGATCGCTGGTTAAGGATTCCTCCTTATTTAGAAAATTCCTTTTAAGGGGTGTAAAAATGTCAAAGTCACAACTCCTGTATAAACAAGGCTATCAGATCAAACACCTGGAGTTTTTCTTAAGTAATTCCTTCAAGTGAATACATCTGAACGAATTCTTCCATATGAAGATAACGTATAACTTTCACATTCGTACATCTGATCTGATTCTTTCAAAACAATCGCCCCTGATATAATTCCTTTAAACAAACATATGTGTAAATATCGTAAATGTTATTTCTAAGAATAAATGTTTGTTTATAGAGAAGCAAACAAAATGAAAAAAAATCTTTAAAAAATACATAGTTTTACGTATTCTGCATTAGTCTATTTCTCCATTGGCTTGTCTGCTTAAATATAGCATTTGGATAATGATATGCATCGACTTTACATATGACTCTTTATTCATAATGACTATATCAAACCATCTCAAGGTTTCTCAGAATACTGTATTACTTTAGGGCATGTATACACATACATATATATATATATACATATATATATGTAATCTAAATAAGGTTCCTATGGTGATAGCCAAATATTTCAAAATCGTCCCGGTATATTTCAATGAGGTCGCGCTGCTGCTCTTCTGAAAGCATGTCGAAATAGGACTCGACAAAGCCCGTCGTCTTCGAGGGAATAATTTCAGGAAAGTGAAGGTTCGGAGGCGCTCCCACTTTCCGGAGGATGTATTCGGAATCCTCGGCTAGGGTCTCGTACTTCCCTATAATCTGGTACCTGTGGATAAAAATTGGCTTGGTAACTAATAGAGGTATGGTACTTGTGGATGGTGACATGGTAGCTAACAGACATGGTACTTATGAATGGTGACGTGGTAGCAAAGAGAGGTATGGTACTTGTATATAAAGATATAAGAACTGACAGTGGTATGGTACTTGTGAATGGTGACGTGGTAGCTAACAGACATGGTACTTATGAATGGTGACGTGGTAGCAAAGAGAGGTATGGTACTTGTATATAAAGATATAAGAACTGACAGTGGTATGGTACTTGTGAATGGTGACATGGTAACTAACAGACGTATGGTACCTGTAAATAAAGATATAGGAATTAATCTACTTGCGAATAAAGGTGACATGTAACTAAGAGGGTATGGTACCTGTAAATAAAGATATAGGAACTGACAGTGGTATGGTAACTGAAAATAAAGGAGACATGTTAAAGGTGACATGTTAACTAACAGAGGTATGGTACCTGTAAATAATGATATAGGAACTAATAGACATATGGTTCTTGCGAATGAAGGTGACATGGGAACTAAGAGAGTTATGATACCTATAAATAAAGATAATATGGGAACTAACAGTGGAATGGTCATTGAGAATAACGGTAACAGAGTAACTAACAGAGATATGGTACCTATAACCAAAGATGATATGGGAACTAACAGTGGTATGGTATATGTGAACAAAGGTGGTATGGGAACAAACAGTGATGAATAAAGATGACATGGTAATTAGCAGTGAATAAAGGTGACAGGGCAACTTACAGGTGTCTGGTTTCCTGTGAGTAAAGTCGATATGGTAGCTAACAGGTATGGTGACAGTGAATAAAGACAACATGGGAACTAACAGGGGTATGATACCAGTCAATAAAGATATTTTAATTAAAGAATGCACTATAAATCGAATATCGAAAGGCAGTTTGCACTAATATCGATTTCTCTTACATTTAACCATTCTTTATACCATATGCTATAACTTAGGCATAATATAAGGGCATAAGTACACAAATAATCAAAGGAATAAGAAGTCAAAGTCGGTCCAAAGAGAAGAAAGACCCCAGGCAGCACTCACCTGACCGCGCAGGGATGGCACATATCTGACACCGGCGCCCAGTGCTCATTAAGCTGGCTCCGCTTCGTGTCAATTAGGTACGACACGAACTCGGGGAATTTGACCCCATCGCCCGTGGCAGGGACTTGAGCTGGGTCAATCCCCTGTCGGTATTTCTTTATGATTTTGACGCCAAAGCGCTTTTTGAAATAGGCTGAGGAGGTATAATTTTTCTGGAACTTATTCCTAAACGCCGACAGGACGCGCTCGATCGGGTGGCGGACAAACAGGAACTTGGTGTAGGTCTGCAAGCGATGGCGTATAGCGTCGGGCTGGAAGGGAGCACGACGGCAAGGAGGTAGGATTAATATCTTGATGGATTTTACACACACACACACACACACACACACACACACACACACACACACACACACACACACACACACACACACACACACACACACACACACACACACACATATATATAACAGAGTCAGAGTCTCAATTCTTATTATGTCATAAAAACACAATTAAAAAGTTCTAATAAAAACATGCGATAGCGGAAAAAAATCCCAGCTGTCATGTTATCAAAGGACACAATTCTTTTAATGGTTTTACGAAAAAAACGAAAAAAATTATGACTTGCACCAGGTGCACAGATAAAAAAACAAAAGAAATTAGTAAATACATTATGTAGGTAGGTAGGTAAGCATGCATATATGTATGTATATGTATGTATATATGTATATATATGTATGTATGTATATATGTAAGTATTATGTACACATGTGTATATGTATGTACTTAAACATGCGTATGTATTGGATTGGATCCTGGACTTAATGATTACTTAGGATAACTTTAATAATAATTCCTGTGTATAAAAAATAAGGTTAGAGAGAGGCCTAACTTTCAGGCTCCGAGAGAATCGTCACCTCTCTTGGCCCACAGTTTCCCCCGCAGAGCCGTGGCCTTGAAGATGACGCGCACTCTGTGTGTGTGTGTGTGTGTGTGTGTGTGTGTGTGTGTGTGTGTGTGTGTGTGTGTGTGTGTGTGTGTGTGTGTGTGTGTGTGTGTGTGTGTGTATGTGTCTGTATGTGTGTCTATGTGTCTGTATGTGTGTGTGTCTGTATGTGTGTGTCTGTGTCTGTATGTGTGTATGTATGTGTCTATGTGTCTGTATGTGTCTATGTGTCTGTATGTGTGTCTATGTGTCTGTATGTGTGTCTATGTGTCTATATGTGTGTCTATGTGTCTATATGTGTCTATGTGTCTATATGTGTGTCTATGTGTCTGTATGTTGTCTATGTGATGTGTGTCTATGCGTCTGTCTGTCTGTGTGTTCTTGCATTCTCGCCCGTAATTGCATCTGAATGTCCAACTTTATTTATATCATCATCTTCAATTACGCCTCCAAGTCCGTCCACTTTTGCACGCGCGTCCCACTTACCTCTAACTGGCTAAGCTTAGTGAAGACGTTCATTCTGTGCACGCTGTCTGAGCGAATCGATAAGGGCGAAGTCTCGTTAGTTCTGCCTGTGAGGATGAGCATTACCCGTTTCCAGTTGGTACACGCCACCTGTGGGAAAGGAATCGCGTGAGTTAAAGAAATAATGAATATTAAAATACACTGATTGATCTAAGATAAGGAATATATTTATGATAAGTTACTGAGTAGTTTAA